TGACGTGTTCAATACTTATTTTACCTGCTGTATAAAGCTGAGGTTTTTTTTTTTTTTTGTTTTTTTGTGAGATTGCCCTATACATCCGTAAATGTGCAAAATAGGGGAAAATCCAAAGAAAATCTGTGTACTTTATGGACCCCACCCTTTGTGTAAGTGATGCTAATTTTTTTGTGAAAATTGTGGATTTTTGAGGGTTGATACAGGTGAACGCTGATGTGGTTGACATGTATGAAATGTGACATTGATTTGTTTAGAAAGTATAAAACAGCAGGAAGAAAGTAGCTCCGTTCAGGACTTCACTTTTTACTACAGACTTATTTAAGGTGTAAGAGCTTTGGCAGTGGTGGTTCCACAAATCCTATTTTTATTTAGCTAATGAGCTTTTTTAGTTACTCTGAAAACCATTAGCGGACCAGTTAGCTTTCACTAATTAGGCCATATTTATGTCCACTAATAGATACTTAACAAATTAACACCATCAGTCCCATCAATCTTCAGCTGGAAGGAGATGAAGATGTTTGACACTCTGAGACAGTTGTATTAGTGTTTAGAAATTATTATTGTTAGCTTCTTCTATTTTTTACTTGTTTAGCAGCCTAGCTTTAGTGAAGCTATATATTGTTGTTGTGCCCACTGCTGTGTGTTGTTTGTTTTCTTGTAGTTTGATGACTGTAAACCTTTTTGCTGCAAACCACTTGGTTATTTATGGAACCTGAACATCCAACAGACTGTCTCTTAAAAATCATTACAAATGCACAAGTCGATTTATGTTAAACTTTCCTTTAAAATCATTGACGAGGAATTTTCATAAATATATTTAAGCTAGAAATGCTTTTTGAGCTTGTTAAATTTGCTCAATTTCAATGGTTTCCAGCTAAAACTCTTTGTATATGTTTAATGATGTGTGATCCAGAAAAGTTCGGCTCCGCTGTGCACACAAAACATCTGAAATGGTCTGTTCATCATCCTGTGAACCAGCTTTCAGCCCTGGATCCTCCAGAGCATAATGATATCAAATATTCAGGAGAACTTAAAACAAATCCAGTGTTTCAAAAATGTAAACCAGCAACGTAATTTTTTTAATTATTACTCGTGAAAACGGGTTTCAAAAAACACTGAAATTAAAGTTTAGTGTTCAACTCAATAACTGATGTCTGACATTCTCAAACAGGAGGATTGTCATAATGTGCAACAAATACTGCTGATGATCATCATTTCTTTATAATGTGTGCAATCAGAGGGTTTCAGACTGCAGTGGTAGAAGCACCATGTAGATCCATCTGATCCCATTTTATTCCTTGTTTACTGAACGTCTTGCATTTAAATCAATGAAAATATTCCAGCACTCGGGTTGATATTACACAAAAGCACAAATAATCAATAATCAGACTTCATAATCGTAATCCTTCCAGTTTTGTTTCTGTGGTTCAAATGAGCATCTGTTAAAAACAGAAACGACTCAAACCCATCATCCTGCTGCCCTGAACTGCAGGACAGAGTCTTCATGTTTCAGTCTGCAGGTCCTTTCAGACACGCAGCTCAGTGTCCAGTTTGTTCACCTGTGAGGAGCTTCATGTGCTTCTTTCTCTCTCTGTTTTTAAGCGCTGCATCAGTAATATCTGTTGAGACTCTGAGTGACAGTGCTGATGTCTGGCTGTCCGTTCATCCAGATCTCTCGTAGAATCCGTTCACGTTCTTCTAGCCGCTGTGCCCGGTCCAGTTCTTAGAGCAAATACAGAAAAAAAAAAAGATATTTTAAATGCACTAATACTGCTTTATTGTTTTTCTAAAGAGTGGCATGTTTGTCTGACAATTTTGTGCAAAAATGTGACCAGAGAAAAAGTGTATTTTCTGACAAAGAACTACATCCTGAGCTCAAGGGGTTAAATTGAAAGCTTTCTGTTTTAGCCTTTTGCTGCAGCAGATAACATCTCTGAGTAAATTCTTCATATTTTGCTTCAAAGAAATAAAGTTTCAACCTTGTATGTTGGAATTTGAGTGATGGTTCTCTGTGTTTCCTGAAGGTCTCACCGTTTTCTTTTATATTTTTAGCCTTTTTAAAAGAAAAACAAGTTTAGCCAATCCAAACAAATTAATGAATTAAAAATTTATTTAGATAAACACAGTTTGAAAATATGATACAACCATCTTTTTGATGAAATACAGAGTGGCTCAGGACTTTTTCTCAGAAATGTATCCTAATTTTAAATCTTCAGAAATACACACTTCTGGGTTTTACTGTAAAAACTTAGTATTTTATAAAATAAAGAAAAATTGCAGACACTGATGGATTTTTTTAAGCAATAAAATAAAAAACTGAAAACTATAAGAAATTTGTGTTTGTACCCAAAAATTTAATAGATCTATTGATTAAATTGAGAATCTCATGCTGCTGAGTTTATTCTTAGTAGTTTAAAGAAAAGTACTTCAAAGCTTTTGCACATTTTCCACTCTTTTGTCCTTCATTAAGTTATTTTTTCAGTGTCATTTTATATTTTTATAGAAAGTAGGGCTTAGTGATAAATCGATTTAATCGATTAATTCAAATTTGCCATTTATAAAGACTTAATTTTGGGAAAATCAAGATTTTTTTCCTCACCAGTAAACTCTTTGGAGCTTCTGTACTTCAGAGGTCACCCCATCTGTCCCTCTAGATCAGAGCTGCCCAAAGTGGGGCCCGCGGGCCAAAATTGGCCCACCAAGCCATTTGGTTTGGCCCACCTTATCCTGGCTACAAGGTTATAATCTCCTGCCTTATGTAGAAACACTATATTTCCACTTTGCCATCCCAACCGTTGGCTGTAATGCAGAATGTCTTAACTCATGGTACTCAATTTATCAGTAACGCTTTCTTTTACGGTGCCCTTATTACCATGTAATTACGTGGTAATTAGGGTACAATTTTACTATGTAATTAATTGTCTGCAGTAATGTAGCACTTACAATTCACTACGTAACACCTAAATAAGTAGTAGGTAATTTGGACAGTTTTAAAGTTATATTTTATTGCAATTAACCACTAACCCCAAAATTCAGTTGCATTCTTTTGGTTTAAATATAGTGTTGAGTTACTGTTGAATAGTAATTTGATTGTAGTTACCCAATAAAGGTTGTTTTACTAACAGTAGTTTTTCTTTTGTACCTTAATTACCACGTAATTACATGGTAATAAGGTAGAAATTACAATTTCATTACATTTTTATTACCTTGTAATTACATGGTAATAAGGGTACCGTAAAAGAAAGCCTTACCAATTTATCTTTGGACTATATTAAGACTAATCATAAAATACAAATAAYTRCACAAGACATTTAGATTMGATTTAAGCACACATCTATATTTTGCACACTTTATAAGACCAAAAATACTCAAATTTTAATTTATGAAAAGTCTGATGAGCCTTTGCTGCCTGAGCATATGTCAAATTTCCTCCATGTCCATCCATGGGCTAAAAAAATGTGTGCCACCGCACTGGATGCTATCTGAAACCATAAAAATAAAACAGCTTTACTTAAGAAATATTTGCCTTTCATGTATTGAATTATTTTGGCCCGCAACCTTCAGAGCAATTGGGCGCCCCTGCTCTAGACGCTTGGTACACGACATGACAATATGGCAGCTAGCACAGAGGATCTACTTCTCAAAAAAGGCACTGTTTCTTCAGTTTAATGGAACTGGTTAAGTTTTGCAACCTCAGACTTGGAGCAATGAACACCTCACTGCAAAATCTGTTTGAAGGCTCTTGCTACAAAAAGCAGGAGAACAACAAATTTGTTTCGACACCTGAAACAGAGGCACTCCAAGTGGGAAGCAAAATCAATTAAAATCAATTAAAATCAATTAAAATCGATTAAAATCTAATTTTGGATGAAAAAAATCGTAGATTTTTTGAGGGGCCATATCGTCCAGCCCTAAAGCACACAGACCTGGTAAATGACAGTAAATAAACCTGTTAAATGTTAGTTTCTGTGTGAGCGGTGCACCTTCAGACGAGGTGAACATGTTGGCGTGGAGCAGAGCTCTCTCGAAGCGTCTGCGTCTCTGAGCCGACAGGTCCGTCAACTCGTCCCAGTCCTCGGACTCGTTGGCTCCGGAGGCCCCAGTCCCTCCGGAGGCCACAGCCACAGCACCAGAGGGGTCCGGGTTACCATCGCTGGGCTGACGTGGGGCGCAGACGTGCTGGCCACGGGGACGCCCGACCTTTTGGCGGTGCTGAAGGTCGTTGGTGTTGCCATAGTGACAGTCAGCTCGACAGTGTATCTGGAAGACGATGGCGCACAGCGTGACCAGGAGACCGACGCTGACGCCGCCCAGGAACACCAGAGCTGTCCTCTCAGGCTGGTCTGTGAGCGAGAAATAAACACAAAGCTTCTTCATGGCTCATCTGGGGTTTCTGCTGTCCATGGCAGCTTAACAGACATCACGCTGAGATTTTAGAGTTAATTAGGAATGTTGCACCTCAGCTGCTGCTCTACCTGCAATAAAGGTGTAAGCTGCCAATATGTTGCTAATAAACGCCATCTCCTGGGAGACCACCTTCACCTCCATGTTGGGGGCTCCTGTCGTGGAAGTGCTCATGATGTCCCAGAGTTCAGATTGAAGTAATCTCCCGAGGAGGTCGGCTCAGTTCCTCATCGCTCCTCCTGGATTGTGGGTTTTTGAGAACAGAAGTTCTCCCTAACAAGGACGTTAGAGTAAATCATTAGTAAACATTTCTCACTTGAAAATGTCATTTTGTCAAACAGTGTGCAGAAATAATGTACTAAATCGCCACACTGAAGATTATTATCCAAAAAGTACAAAGAACACCCAAGTTCAAAAACTGTAAAAATGCCTGAGATTTCAGTTGTCTTTTCTTAGCCACTAATCAGACAGCGAGGTCATTTTTTGTTTAGCAGATTAGGTTTTTTGAAAACCATTAGCCGACCAATTAGCTTCTGCTAAACTAGATTTTGCCAACTTGAAGTCAGCTAACAATAAAGCTAACATCAACAGTCCCGTTACAGTCAACTTAGCAGTTAGCTGTTAGGTTAGCTTCTGCTAGTTTTTACATGTTTAGCGTTAGAGAAGCTATATTTTTAGTTAGCGGATAAGAGTTAGCAAAGCCAACTTTTTGGTTAGCTGTGTCCACCACGGGCCTTCAGTTTAAAGCTGTCAGAATGGTGCACAAAAAAATATTATATATATA